CGACTATTAAACCGTATTTCAATGTGATTTGACTATTATGCAAAGAAAACAAATGTGTTTAACCATTTGTCAAGAAATTCGCGAATTACAACAAATAGGAATTAATTTAATTTATATTTGAAATACAAGATTTAAAACCGCTATAACTTTTGTGCACAGCATCCGAATTTGTGAACGCGAACAGATTTTGAATCAGCATATTTTCCTTAACCTTAACCTATGTACCAAAAATCATGAATGTGCTCGCGAAAAAATTTTTCATTTTTTAATGACATTTTAAAAGAATTTTGTAATTTCCCATATGTATCCTAACAAATCCATGTCATTGTTCCCTCGAAGGAACATACACCTTTCTACAATTTCTAAATTTAATTTCAATCGGGCAGATTTAGAATCGTTTGCGTACAATGGGACAAATTTATGGAAATCGATTTATAGCAAACTTGATACACGCTACTCAGTATGCTGCATTGTTAAAAATATAGTCTTAATCAGACACTCGTTCGAAATATATATGGTACGTTTGGCAAAATTTCGTGTCAATTGGACAAACATTAGGAGTTTGGTGTACCATTTACCTAAAATCGGACGAAAATTTATATTTGGAACCTATATCTATATCTGAACCGATATTCTCGAAACATAACACATCCCATTCTAAACTCAATTCAATACGCTATGTAGGGTTTTTGTTGCAACATTTACATTAAATCGGACGAAAATACATATGTGAGCTATATCAAAATCTGAACCGACTGTCAGGTTCATTATCATCCATCATTCTTGACTTTATTTAGTACGCTATGCCAAATTTCGTGAAAATCGAAAGATATATAAGGGGATTTGGTACACCATTTAAATTAAATCGGACGGAAATATATATGTGAGCTATATCCAAATCTGACCCGATTTTCACACATCATTATATTCAGTACGATATGCCAAATTTCGTGCAAATCGAAAGATATATAGGGACTTTGGTGCACCATTTATATAAAATCGGAGGAACATATATATGTGAGCTATGTCTATATCTAAACAGATTTTCACGAAACTTAGCACACATCATTCTGAAACTAATTCAGTACGCCATGCCAAATTTCGTGCAAATCCAAAAATATATGGGGACTTTGGTGCCCCATTTACCTAAAATTGTCCGAAAATATATATATGCGATATATCTAAATCTGACCCGATTTTCTCGAAACTTAACACACATCATTCTAGGCTTAATTCAGTACGATATGCCAAATTTCGTGCAAATCGAATGATATAGGGACTTTGGTGCACCATTTACATAAAATCGGACGAAAATATATATTAGAGCTATATCTATATCTGAACCGATTTTCACGAAACATGGCACACATCATTCTGGACCTAATTCAGTACCCTATGCCATATTTCGTGCAAATCGAAAGATATATAGGGACTTTAGTGCCTATATCGAACGAAAATATATATGGGAGCTATATCTAAATCTGAACCGATTTTCACAAATTTCAATAAGGTTCGTCATTGGCCAAATAAGTGACTTGTGCAAATCGGATCATAAATGCGATCTGTACTTTCCTTACAATTTAACATCAACAGACGGACGGACGGACATGCATAAATCGACTCAGAAAGTGATTCTATGCATATTCTCAAAAGGAACCATGTGTCTATTTCGATTCCTTTTGTCTGTTACAAACATATGCACAAAGACATAATACCCTGTACCACAGTGTGGTGAAGGGTATAAAAACGTAAAGAGTGTTTTGTTTTTGACGGAAAAAACTCCTGAAATGATTTTTATTTATGACGGAAAAAATAACATTCATTTTTAACAGTTAAAAATCAAAGTTTATTTTTTCCGTTGAATAATAAGTATTTACATGGAATTGAGAGTGTTTGCTCAAGATTACACAGTATCCTTAATAGGCTCGTCAATACGAATCTATTGGTATATGCCACTATAGGTGTCGGTCCCATGTCTAACATGAAGATTTTTTGTTCACATTTTCAAAAATAATTGTTATTTTCGGTCCCTGATTGTGGACAATCAGAAAAAGTCATGTTGGCGATTACAGCATAGAAATATGAATAAGTGAGATGTCTGAAGAATATAATGTCCCCAGGACATTAGCCATGTAGGAGGAAGTCAACTAAACAAAAGCCGTCGTACTGATAATTTGGTCAAAAACAATAATTTATGACTTGTTCCCAACTAGAAAAAGTCCTTCAAAAACCAATAGCTGCCACATGTATGCGTACCGTCCTGCAAAAAATTTGATCTTGTCATCAACTGACCTTGTCATCAACTGCTGGAAATAAGGCCGGAAATATATAGCAGCCCTCGTGGCTATTCATTCATTTGGTATTTCAGTTATTCAGATCAATGCGCCCGCATTGTGTTATGATATTTTGCACCCCTTTACCATTCACCCTCTTACCGCAATATCGATTTCATTTGAAGAAAATAACTCAAAACCATTGAAACAGACAATTAATAATCGTTGAAAAGTAAAATTGACAAGCAAATGCAAAACAAAACTTGTTGTCGATCAGGAGGTAGGTAGGTAGTTAAGGCGACAGCCGATACAAATGTCGGCAGCAGTAGCAGTCCCAGCATCCAACCGGTAAATACTCTACCAACTAACGGCCTATGTAATTGTCTTCAAATGATAGATACCCGTGCGCATGCGCCACTGACATCCGACTAAACTGTGTGGCGCCGATCAAGGAGGATTATGATTATGGAAATTCGATATGAATGTCGTACAACAATTCGCATGCAATATAAAATAAATACAAATACGCTGTTTGTTTTTGTTTATTGTAACAGAAAAAGATAGAAAAACAAATAGTTTAACAATTTCATGGCTTCAATACTTCAAATTTCAAACCAGATTTGTAGCAGCCCAGCTCCTCCAGTAATTGCGTTTTGGCAAATGCAAAGCCAGGTGGAAAAACGCCACCACTACGAAAAAACAAAAACAGAACAAGAAAATGAGAAAGGATGTGGAGAATTAAAGAATAAAAATTAAAATATTAATTATTCTACTTACTTTCCTGGCATTTGTTGGTGTTGTTTCAAAATGACTTTGGCGCACATCAGTAAACAGGTACTGGTTATACCATAGCAGGGATCCTTGCCAGAAACCCGCACAACTACTTCTTTATTTGGTGCTTCCGAATCTGCAGTACCTCTTGTCCAGCCCTTAGCTTTCAGAATGTATATAAATTCAGCTACCTTCCTGTTAGCCTCAGTGGGTCCTTGATGGGTCATTGTGCCACGCGTAAAGAAATGTGGATATTTAAATAAGAGGCTGCGCGTACAACCGCATTGTGCCATTAATGCAATAAATAGTAAGAACAATGGAAACATCATAGCCAAAAAGAAAGAACTGTATAGGAAGAAGTACATATTTGATTTTAGAGATCAAATTTGAATTAAAAAATTAATTGATACTTACGTAAACCCAATATACATCTGGAATTGCATTGGTCTTTTATTTTCATGAATATAAAATAAACGCTGTGATCTCTCCACTACGGGAGTATCAGTAATGGGAAATGGAGCAAAGTATTTACTGGCACCCTCGGTTTTGTGGGGATAAATTCTGATAAAGAAAAAATAAAAAAATTGAGAGTCGAATTTGAAATATTGCGAACTGATATCGGCCAAAATATATATCTTGTAAATGGGATACATCGTCTTTTTCAGAATATAAAGGATTACCAAATCATATAATGGGCTTCTCCATTATATGATTTGGTAATGTCTACGATGGAAATAAAAAATGCCTCACATGTTATTAACTTTTTTCCATTAAAAATCCCTAAACTTACTTCATCCATAATTTCGGTCTTAATCTGGGCAACTTTTCCTTATTCAATTTCCTTTCCAGCTGCCACATTTGTCGAGCATATTGCATACTGACAATAGCACTGTCCCAGGTGCCGCTATTTAAAATAGCTTTCGATGTGGTATCTACATAATTCGGCACCACCATACAGTACAGCTCAACCGAATTGACAATTCCTGAAATAAAGAAATAATTGTTAAAAATATACAGCTACATTGGAGTGGTTATAAATTGTTTAAGGGGACCCCCCCCATTCTCGGGGTCAAAAATGTTGGAATCTACACTAATTAAAGAATGTCCCTACAAAATTTCAAATAAAAATCTCAACAACTCTTAAAGATATAGCCGATTTATTGTGCCAGCATCAAGTGACGGCTGAAGGGTTTCTCAAAATTTAAACGAGTTTTTCTCTAAACATTTTTTTGCGAATGACGGGCACGATAACTCAAAAACTAATAACCCAATCGACTTCAAATTTTTACACGTTTCTCTGTGAGTGTATAGCTATCGTATGAACTAGGATAAAGCCAATCGGTGAAGATCTTCCTTATTTTTTAACTTGGGATTTGGTAAAAAATCGGCGATTTTTCAAAAATATTTTTTCAAAGGTACACCATTTTGTTAATTTTAGAGCGAAGTCAATAATCCTAGTTCATACGAGAGCCAGATGTGTACTCTTTCTAACACCGTTGGAATTTTCACATTCCGATGTTCCAGTGAGGAGTTATCATGCCCGCCATCAAAAATAAGGACTTTTCTTTAATTACAAAAAACAAAAATAACAAAAAATTTTTGTAAATTATTTTTCTTAATTTTAAATCTTCAAATATATATGTGTAAAGTTACAAACCTTAACAAGCATTGGTTTTGATTTACCAGCCCATTGAAAATCTTGAAAAATTAATATCGAGAATGGGGGGGGGGTTCCCTTAAACCAAAATAATTTATTTAAAAATTTAAAAAATCAAATATTTTAATGAATTAATCACTCAGATATTTAAAAGTTATATTGTTTATGCATCTTAGACTGATTTTATCTCAAAATGAAATAATCGATGTCGGATTTTTTGGCTTAACCACCTACAATGTTTCATTTTATTGCCAAAGTTTCAACAACGTGCCACTCGACCACCCTAAGCTAAATACATGCTATTGCAACTTACCAGGAAAATTCTCCTCAGCATATAGGACACCCAATTCAGCAGGAATACTTTCAAAGGCACAATTCGATATTACGTACGATCCACTAGATTGTGCCAATTCGTGATATTTCAATTGCATCGCTGAAATGTATTGCGGCTCACCACTCAGATCCACATGATGAGTTCCGGCTTCTACGCAAGCCTTGACAACAATTTCACCGTACAGTTGATAGGGGCCGCAACAATTAAGGACTATCTATAATTTGGGAAAAGGAAATGTACATTTTTATACCCATTATGTCTTTGTGCATATGTTTGTAACAGGCAAAAAGAAACGAGATAGACCCATAGTTCCTTTTGAGAATGTGCATAGAATCACTTTCTGAGTCGATTTATGCATGTCCGTCCGTCTGTCCGTCTATTGGTGTTAAATTGTAAACAAAGTACAGGTCGCATTTATTATCCGAATTGGATGAGATTTGGCACAGCTCATTTGTTTGACCCAAGGACGAACCCTATTGAAATTGGGAAAAATCGGTTCAGATTTAGATATAGCTCCCATATATATTTTCGTCCGATTTAAGGTTAATGGTGCACTAAAGTCCCTATATATCTTTCGAGTTGCACGAAATATGGCATAGGGTACTGAATTAGGTCCAGAATGATGTGTGCCAAGTTTCGCAAAAATCGGTTCAGATTTAGATATAGCTCCCATATATATTTTCGTCCGATTTAATGTAAATGTTGCTCCAGAGTCCCTATATATCATTCGATTTGCACGAAATACTGAAATAAGCCTGTTGTGATGTGTGCCAAGTTTCGTGAAAATCGGTTCAGATTGAGATATAGCTCCCATATATATTTTCGTCCAATTTAATGTAAATGGTACACCAAAGACCCAATTTATGGCTGATAGAAACAAAACGTACTGAAACTAGTATAATCCTGTGACAAGTTTCGTTGAAATCTGTTCATATTTGTATATAGCTTCCATATATTTTTTCGTAAAATTTGAAGTAAATGGTGCATTAAACTCTTCATGTTTGTCACGTTGACATAAAATTTTGCACAACGTAAAAAAATTCATCAAATTTCTTGTTAATGGACCTTCAAAAATGCCACGTTTGTTGGGATGCATCTGTTTAATATACCCATAGTGGTGAAGGGCATCGTATAGTCGGCCCCGTCCGACTTTACTATTTTCCTTACTGGTTTCAATCACCATTCGCACTTAAAACGTTGTAACAGGAATCGAAAAGATCTACTGTTATCCATTACGGGATCGAAATATCAATGTGTACTGTATGCTCGATCACTTGACTTCAACTCACATCGAAATATAATAATCCAACTATTTGGAATTACATCCACTTCGACTGGAAAAAATCGAAAAATACCGGAAATTGGGATGAACACAATTTTCGGTTGTATAAGAAATACATTGGCCAATTTAAACCATCTTCGAACTTCACCTGCTTGCAAACTGGCAATATCGATGTCGAAAAAAAACTTTAAAATAAAATACACAACATTTGTGGATGAGGTCAATAAACTGAAGATGTCGTATGATCATCATTAAACCTTCAAAAGGGGAAGTTCTCGGGCGGATTATGTTATCTCCGTTTTTACGGTAATTTTACTTGTATGTAAGGAGTTCCGGAATTGCTGAGGTTAGCATAATTATTGAAGGAAGTCTAATTTGAGAATTTGATAATGTTATGTTATAATTATTATGTATTTGATGATGGACAAATCATAATCATAATTACATATAAATATGCATGCTGTGTACGTCTATTATATATTAATTATGTTAAATATATTATTTGGTTTCAGAGAAAACGAAGTAAAGTTACAAGAAGGATAAGAAAACAATATGGATTACGTTAACAAATTTTCCTTTATGATATCGAAACAAGTGAGCGGAGCAATAAAGTCGGAAGGGCCGATTATACCCTACACAACTGTAACTTTCTGTAGAAATATATTCAGTGGTTTCGCGATATTTGCATCCTCTTGACCGATTATAGATCAACAGCTCCTCATTCTTACTCTTACATCATTTCCGAATCAGATTTTCCCGGACTAATCATTTTGTTATATTACACAAAAATTTGTTGGTTCATTTCATGGTACAATAACAAGAGGTAGGTTATTGATACATGCTGATTTTATTTTTTTCTTTTGTGTGCCCCTGCCCTGTCAAAACAACTCAATGTAAAATTTCGTGACAAAAATATAGTTTTTTGTCCATTTCATCCACAAAAAATCATCCGATCATCACCGGAAATTAAAGGTGTCGTCTATTACCATAACCGGAACTGGTGTATAATTTCATAACTCATCATCCCGGCGCGGAAATGCCCTAGTGTGGCAATGGTAATTTAACTATTTCAGTATAACTCCCACATCCACATAATTGGTATCATGTTAAAGGTTATCAGCTCTTTTGTGATATAATATCAACTACTGGGGCCTATATTCGATTTTTGCCGCTGACCAAAAAGTCGATTTTTAGACTTTTCGATTTTTGCATTTGACTAAAAAGTCGACTTTTCGATCTTTCGATTTCGTCAAACATATTCAAAATCGATTTTCGACTTTTACCGGTTAATGCAAAATCGACTAAAAATGTAATTTTTTTAATTAATTGTTGTCAACGGATAAAATAAAGTTCTTGAATGTGTAATTTTTGAGCAATATCGGCTTTGAGATAATAATGAAGATAAGTATTTATGAAAAAGATCGAAAGTCGATCTTGAAAAATCGGGATTGCGATTTCCTCAAAGATCAAAAGTCGACTTCCACTTTTAGACTTTTCAATACACAAAGTCGATTAGTTGAAATTCGATTCCATGCTCAGCCGCTTTCTTATTCCACTCTCTTTCTCTGTGTAAAATTTCGTGATGTTTGGGTTATAATTTCATCCCCTAAATATTAATCGATCGTAACCACAAACAATAAGGATGCATGCAAAACTTCATAGCGATTGGTCCATAATTGTGGCCTGTATCGAGTTCCTTACACGTTTCTTTATATTTGTGCACTGTTTTGGTAAAATGTGACCTCTTACCCAAAAATTTAAGACCTGTTGATATCTTTAGCGGGCCTCTTATTTTATTAAATTATAATTTGCACTCATTTTAAATAGTTTTGTGCTGAAACCCTACTTTTCACCGCTTTGGTGGTTATTCACCACGTCAAAACAATCAGTGTTCGGAAGTACAAAATCGCCAAGTAATGATTTTTGCTTCCACAGTAGATATAAAATTCTTCCTTTTCCCTCTTCAAAATCAGTAATTTATCAAAAATCTATTCCGGCCGCTTCCAAATTTACACACATGTGTTTTGAAGGTTGAGGCTATATGTGGTGAGACCTACTCTTAATAGATTACTCGGCGAGACTTGCTCTTAATAGGTTTAACATTGTTTAATTTTTTTTCATTAGAATACGATTTTAATTACTCAAAATGCCGCTCCGAAATGATCCAACGCCACCTTCATACCTAACCTGAATTTCAATAATTTTAAACGCCTATCTAGCCTATGCAGGGCTAGGCTGCGTTGGACCTTTTGTAGTAGTTTAGTATCAGGTTACCATAATTCCATTTTAGTTTTGGTAGTTTTTCATACTTTTTACAAGTTCTAGAGACAAAGTACCTCGTCTGTATATACACCGACCTTACCTTACAATTTTTTGCCATATTCTCAATGGACTTTTCATCACCAACATCCGCTACAACAACTGGAATCTGACTTAGATCAGTATTGGCTCGTTTGCCAATTTTTTCCAACAATTCTTTGAGTTTTTTCTACAAATGAATATTTATTTCAACCTTGATTTAAGATAAACTTAGTCATATTTTTTTGATATTGACCTCATTTCTACCCGCAATACCCCATTTTAAATCTTTGAATATTTCAATGGCATCCTCCACAACAATTTGCCCCGTAAACCCCGTAGCACCGAAAATAATCGCATCTAACTTTTCTCCGCTCATATCAAAATGAATATTTTTTCGGGATGTTAACGCTTCGCGGTTGAAATAAAACTGAATTTAGAAAATAAAGTCTTAATAAAGTTTAACAAAGGCCACAAAAATGTATTAGACATTAAGTATGTATGTATTCTATTTTGTATGAGAAACCTACAATTAGAAATAATTACAATGTTGTTGACATTGGTAAGTGATATCGACAATATGTTGCGCTACACCGTGGGCGAAATTTATATAATAAAATACTTTTTGGAATAAATTAAAACAATTTTATTCCGTGATTAGGGTAAAAACTGTGTAACAGTCTCAATGTGTATAAATTGTATTTATTGAATTCTTAAAGATAAAGAGGAACATCTGTCCCAATGTGTGGGAAAAAAAACTTTCCAGCATTTATGGAATGAAGGAAATCGGTTGATTTCATTATTCAAAAATATTTGGTAATATTTTTGTATTTTTAAATAATTAATGTCAGAAACTATTTGTTCCCAATTCTGTTGTGTTCGCACTAAGATGGGAGAGCTGGTGTAGGGTATAATTATTAAAACTGCGTACTAACTTAACAAATTCTATTTTAGATTAACTTGCTAGTCAAGTTTGCTGCCCGAATACCGGTTTCGACAAAATACAATATAAATTATTGTTTATATCGAAATAACATGCATTCCGACACAGATAACGAAAGATGCATTACAATTTATTTTTTTTTCTATAAATTGGGCAATTAGGAAAATGACTTGGAGCTTTAGAAATATTTGTACGAATGAGAGCTTTTTTATATACTGTGTTAACTATTCGGAATGAAGTCATAAGTTCGACTGGTTGTGGTGAGTTTTCACAAAGGTCAGCTTTCGTGTTAAGGGGTGATTTAAGGTGGGGTTTTCGGTAGTCTAGACAACAATATTATAAATATCTACAAACATTGACCTTTATTGGTAATTATTTTTATAATTTACATTAAGGGGACCCCCCTATTCTTGGTGTCAAATTGTTTTTGATTTAATTCGAATCTACACTAATTCGAGAATGTCCCTAGAAAATTTCATCAAGTGACGGTTGAAGGGCTTCTCAAACTTTAAACGCGTTTTTCTCCAAACATTGGTTTTGCGAACCAAAACTCAAAAACTGATAACCCAATCGATTCCAAATTTTTACACGTTTCTCTGTGAGTGTACGGCTATCGTATGAACTAGGATAAAGCCAATCGGTGAAGATCTTCCTTATTTTTTAACATGATTTGTGGCAAAAAAAATCGGTGATTTTCCAGAAATATTTTTTCAAATGTCCGCCATTTTATTAATTATAGAGCGAAGTCAAAAAATAATCTTAATTTTGGAATTTCGTTAGTTACGTATGTTCGATTTTGTATTTTTTTCTGTTATGTTATATATTAGGTCTGATAAAAAACAGTTATTTTCACAGTTTATCGATTTCATATTTCAGATTTGCACATATGTTTGTATCCACCATAAAGTGAAACGTCTTAAAAAGGTTGAGAACTTCATATGGTACCTATATCATATTAAATAATCAAATACTGAATTACAGACGGAACCTTTATTATGGTGCCTAAGTCCAAAAATATAGATTTCTGATGACTTTTCGAAGGGAAATTTTCTACCCAAAGAGAATCCAAAATATCAAATTGGAGACAATTCGTTTGAAATATATGCCTAAAGTCACCAAAATGGCGAAATGTTGAGGTTTATATGGGTGCTATCCGAAAACATGGCCAAACATTGATACTTTTTTTGTAAGAAGATTTGCACCCAATGTGTATTCAAAGTTCTAAATTACAGTTAATTCTGTTGAAAGAGGTGCCTAAAATCATCAAAATACCATATATTTCTATCCTTAAAATTCGGTAGCAAGATTTGTACTCAATTAAAGCTCAAAATACCAAATTACTTGTTAAAAAACTTGCCAAAAATTTCCAAAATATTGAATATTTGGGGGTATTGTTATACGGAGGCTGTACCAAAACGTGGGTCCATATATACCATTTTCAATATCAAATAGAAATAACTGTTTAAGTTCGATACATTGCTTACGGCAATGTATATGTTCGATACATTGTTTCCCCTTCTACAGCATTACAATTAACCACTTTAATTGGCCGCTCTTCGGAGCCCAATGGGGAAATCTTCTCTGCATATCTTCCAGGAGCCTCATTCGCCTAGTTCGGATTGTAGGGGAGAGTTCGCTCTCTTCTACTATATCTCCTGGAAGCCACATTCGCTTAGTTCGGATGCAGAGAGGCGCTTTCCAATGCTGTGGTCGTAGTTGTTGATCACGGCCTTGCTGTAGCTTTCTTGCCCATCGCAACATCACTTGCTTTTTAACTCTCGTTGGTTAAACTTGCTTTCTCGCACGCACACCTAAAGGTAAAGTTTGTTGCTTTTCGAAACAAATGCACTTGCCGAATATAGTTGAAAATATATTCTAATATCAAATTGTTTTATTTTGTTTTTCTTTCTCTTTTTGGTTTTTAACTCCCCTTAACCGGTATCACGCCAACATTTTGATCCATTCGAGCCGGATCAACCACCAACAAATTACGAAGTTGTTGCTAATTTGAGCTCTTCCCTATTTTTTTAAAGGAGAAAAACAACATCCCTCACAAAAAACTCCATCATCAACATCAACAACACCAAAAAACTACATCATCATCAACAACGCCAAAATTTGCATCATCATCCAAACAATACATCATAAACTCAAAGGTACGTAGTTCAGTTTCTTAATATTGAGCATACCGCGAGTGTTGTCGTTTTTTACCTTTCGCTTTATACAAATATATATTCAATATTTTGTGTTATATTTTGCGCTACGTCGCGTTCTGGTCGCCCTACAATTGCTTTACCGTGTGTGTTTCTAATAAAAATCTAATACAGTCCACTCATTGTCGCATATCACTGCTTTAATTTGTTAGCCAGTGATCTATTGTGTAGTGCTTAGTTGTTATTTCTCACTAAAGGCTACATATACACCCCCGCTTTCTCGTTGAATTCATCAGCCACTAGTGAGAAAAAGTACTAACAACAATACACTTATCGAGCCCTTTTTCTTTTTTTTTCTTTGTTATTCTCAAACCTACCAACAGTTCTAATACATCACTTCAACTCTCCTTGTTTGTTCGTATAAATATAACAACAATAACATCCTAATATTCCACGCGCCTTTTTATAGCGTCTGTTTGTTAACATTCGATCCACCAACAAATTATTTCTCTTCACCACTAACTCTCACTGTTGGTTCATTCTCGTTGTGTTGTTGATCGTGTGATATCAACAACAAATATCACTCTCGCATTCCAGCCGCCTTGTTTAGTGTGAGCCG